AATATAAATTTTTAAATTTTATAGTGCTTAAATTTAGTTTTTAATGATATTGATTATTGCTAGGAGTGCTGTTAGTGGCTTCATAAGGCCTCAGGTTATTGCATGTGATCATTTATTTGGTTAAAAATTGTTAATTGTCTCGTGTAAAATTTTTTAAAACTTTTAGGAAGTTTAATTTTTAAGGGAGACTCTGTCAATTTTTTTTTGAATTCATTCTTTCCTCTCATTTGCTTAAATTTAGTTTTTAATGATATTGATTGTTGCTGCGAGTGCTGTTAGTGGCTTCATAAGGCCTCAAGTTATTGCATGTGATCATTTATTTGGTTTAAAATTGTCAATTTTCTCTTGTAAATTTTTTTTAAAAATCTTGGGAGATCCAATTTTCAGGGGAGACTCTGCCGAAATTTTTTTAAATCTTAATTTAATTAGGAACTTAGTTTCTTGAAATAGTTTGAAGGTAATAACATTAGTTATATTCTTTAGGAGGTGACACATGGATTGTAGTTGGATGGATGCTAGACAAACGAGTGACGAGTATGATAATGGGGTGAAAGAATTTTTGAAATTTGCAAAGAAAAATACTGTTGACGATAGTGAAAGGTTCTATTGTCCTTGTGTTAATTGTTTGAATGAAAGGAGACTAGGTGTTGTTGAAATAAGAGAGCACTTAGTTTATGATGGGATTTGAAAAAATTATGCAATATGAATTTGGCATGGTGAACGATTGGAAAATTATAGTAGCACATCTCAATATGTAGGAGTTGATAATCTTGATGATGAAGTAGAAATGAATGAAGATCGATTAGAGGACATGATCCGTGATATTGGGAAAAAGGCTTTTGAATGAGCACATGTGTATGATAACTTGTGCACTGATGTAGAGAAGCCGCTATACCTGGGGTGCACTGATTTTAGTTTGTTATCTGGGGTGTTAAAACTAGTTACCTTAAAGGAAAGAGCTGGGTGGAGTGACCAAAGTTTAACATGGTTGTTAGAGTTACTTCAAATAATGTTTCTAAAAGGCAATGCACTACCAAATTATTATTATGATGCCAAAAAGATCTTGTGTCCAATGGGTATGAAGTATAAAAAAAATACACGCATGTCCTAATGATTGTGTGTTGTACAGAAAAGAGCTTGAAGGGGAGGAGAAGTGTCCGAAATGTGAGGCACCACGGTACAAAGAGAAGGGGGTTCCTATAAAGGTCTTATGGTATCTTCCAATTATACCAAGGTTCAAGCGTTGGTTTGCAAATACTAATGATGCAAAGAGCTTGATATGGCATGCAAATGAGAGGATACCTGATGGAAAACTTTGACATCTAGCTGATTCTCCTCAATGGAAGAAAATTGATCAATTGTTTCCCGAATTTGGCAATGAGCCAAGGAACTTGAGGCTTGGACTTTCTATCGATGGAATGAATCCTTATGGTAGTCTTAGTAGTATACATAGTTCATGGCCTGTTCTTTTTGTGATTTACAATCTATCACCTAGGTTGTGCACAAAACAGAAGTACATGATGCTATCCATGTTGATTTCTGGACCAAAACAACCGGGAAATGATATTGACATTTACCTAAGACCTCTAATTGAAGATTTGAAAGTATTGTGGGAGGTAGGTGTGGAAGTGTTTGATGTAAATCAGAAGGAGAATTTTAAATTACGTGCTATGATCTTTTGTACTATAAATGATTTTTCTGCATATGGAAATTTGTCTGGTTATAGCGTGAAAGGTCATAAAGCTTGTCTAATTTGTGAAGAAAGCACAAACTACCATCAACTTCAACATAGAGGGAAGACAGTCTACCTTGGCCATCAGAGGTTTCTTAGATGAGATCACCCATATCATAGATTGAAGAAAGCTTTTCATGGTCACTAAGAACACAATGATGCTCCGGATGCTTTAACTGGGGATCAAGCGTATGAACATGTGAAAAACATTAATATTGTCTTAGGTAAGACTAAAAAGAATACTGGTGCAAAAAGCATATGGAAAAAAAGGTCTATCTTTTTTGACCTCCCATATTGGCGCAATCTTGAAATAAGGTATTGTATTGATGTTATGCATATGGAGAAAAATGTGTGTGATAATATTATTGGAACGCTTCTGAACATACCAAGTAAGACTAAGGATGGTGTGAATGCAAGATTAGATTTGAAAGAAATGGGAATACGGGAAGATTTACACCCAAGATCAGAAGGTAAACGAACTTATTGTCCCCCAGCCTCTCATACATTGTGTAAATATAAGAAAACAAGTTTTTGTGAGTATTTACATGGAATTAAAGTTCCTTCGGGGTATTCTTCAAATATTATGAAGCTTGTATCTATGAAAGAGTTTAAACTAGTGGGCTTAAAATCTCATGATTTCTATGTGTTGATGCAATAGTTATTACCTTTGGCTATTCGAGACATATTGAATGAAGATTTAAGACTTACAATAACCAAACTTTATTTCTTTTTCAATGCTATATTTAGTAAAGTTATTGATCCCCATAAACTGGAAGAGTTAGAATAAGAAGCTTGTACTATCTTGTGCCAATTTGATATGCAATTTCTTCCTACATCTAGTAAGGGAGGTAAAATTGTGTGGCCCTGTTTATTTGCGATGGATGTACCCAGTTGAGAGATACATGAAAATACTAAAAGGGTATGTCAAAAATCCATTTCGACCCGAAGCATCGATAGTTAAGAAATATGTTACTGAAGAAGCTATGGAGTTTTGTTTTGATTACTTGTCAGGTATAGAATTAATTGGACTTCCTGAATCTCGTCATGAGAAAAGGCAATATGGTCAAGGCATACGTGGAGTATCAGTGAAGAGCATGAATCATGATGAATTACAAGAAGTACATTTATATATCTTGAATAATATTGGTGAAGTTAAAGATTACATATCTTCTCATAAAGAACTTTTAAAGACAACAAATTATCAAATGAGAATGACAGAATAAAAGTTGTTGAAAGAGCATAATAGGACTTTTGTGAATTGGTTTAAGCAGAAAATTTTGAATGAAAGTGGTGTTTCTGAAATAGTTAAATGGTTGGCTGGAGGTCCTAACTTTAATGTTATATGTTGGAGTGCCTATGATATTAATGGGTATTCCTTTTATACAAAGTCTTTAAATGAGAAGAGTATGGTGCAAAATAGTAGAGTTATGATAATGGCTGAAGCCATACACTTCTCTAGTTTAAAAGATAAGAAACCTAACTAGCATCCAGGACTTACTTTGAGGTTATTGAAGAGATTTGGGAGGTTGATTATACAAAATTTAGAGTTCCTGTTTTCAAATGCAAGTGGGTTGACGTCAATGGTATTCGTGATGATAAGTTTGGATTTACAATAGTTAATCTTAAAAAACTAACTTTTGGAGATGAGCCATTTATTATGGCAGACCAAGCTAAATAAGTTTTCTATGTCACGGATCCAGCAAATAAAAATTGGTTAATAGCACTTAAAGGAAAAAGGATGATTGATAGTAATGATGATCATGAATCAAATTTTGATATTTTTGAAACTCTTAACTTCTCAAGTAGATGATGAACATGCCATAAGAAGTGATCACCATGAAGGGATATGGGAGAATATCCTTATATGAGTTTAGTTTTGAAATTAAAGTATGTTAATTTAGTTCAATTAAATTTATGTAATCAATTGGTGATGTTGCTCCTAGTGGGGAGCCGAGTCAGGGCCAGTCTGTGAGGAGGGGGAGACGTGGCACACAATTGAGAGATCTAACTTTAAGTAGGAGTGCTGGGTATAGGTTATCAATTTAATTTGACCAAAGATGGAATCCGATAGGGCCACATAAAGCCAAGTTTGTTAGTTTTCTTGGCCTCCTATCGTGTACCAAGCCTCCTATTGTTTTGAAGACTGGCCTGATGTGCCAGAACGTGTGAAGGAATAGATTTGGGGAAGTATTTAGGTAAATAATTAAAAATTAAAATTTTTTTATAGTTATATATTATTGGGTAATTATTGATTATTATCTTATGTCTTTATTGTAGCTCACATACGATGTTCCATCTAATTAAGATTGTCGACACAAGTTGATTTCTTACTGTGGAACATGTTGGAGAAATTTTAAAACTGATCTTGCTAGAAGATATATCTTTATTGAGGTGCCAGAGGGTCAGGCTCATCCCAATCCTCTTGATATATATTAGTTCCTTGATGAAGATACTTTGGAAGAATTTGTCAGGATTCAAACTTCTAAAAAGGCTATGGTTTGTTGATTTTTAATTTATTTAAGTTTTATTTAGATTTACTTCAATTATAAATCTAAAATTCAATTTATTAATAGGAAAAATGAGCTAAAGGGCGAGAAATTGCTCGGCAGAATCAATGCCCCCACACCTTGTCTCATGGAGGTTATGCTAGAGTTGATGATATACTGATGGCAGAGAAACAGAAGAAGAGAGAAGAAGAAGCCAAGTCTGATCCTTCCATACTCTTTTCTCCACCATCACCTGTCTCTCGAGAGGAGAAATGGAGATATGGACATCAGTATAAGAAAGGAGGCTATATAAGTGAGACAGCAAGCTATGGTATGAAATTTCATGAATTTTTATTATGTAGCAACTTCCTAATATATGTTTTTTATTAACTATTTCTTGCCTTTTTATTATGTAGAAGCTTTCCTCGCTGAATCTCCTAAAGCTTCCACAACCCTTGTTGACTCCGCATCAGCAAATGATCTTAATGGCGTATGATTTATCATTCAAATTCAAGAGTTTAGAAATGGATCCAGAGGTTGTGGGTAAGAAAGACATGATAGTGACAATTGAATAAGAAGATTTAGTTTGACTTCTGTCGAATAATCAGCTTACCACACCACACATTGAACTATTTATAATGTAAGTATATTTTTCTTTAATATAATTGCATTGTTGTAAGTAAACTTAATCATCAAGTTTAGTAAACTAATATAATTGCATTGTTGTAGGTATCTTCATCATTTGTCCATTACATTGGGCAAAGGTGATAAGTTTGGATTCCTTTGCCCTCATTACATGGCAGAGAAAGGTAATACTCCAGAGTTAAGGGCCGTGTACCGCTAACAGAGAATATGTGAAGTCAAAAAGGATGTTTTTATGGCTCCATATGTGCACTCATAAGGATTAATTTATAATTAATAGCTTTTTAATATGGATCTACTTTAACTTGTATCATATTTAGTAGGGACCATTGGCAGTTATTTGTTCTTTCAATGAAGAGCAACACTGTTGTCTTTTTATGCTCCCTCCATTACAAACTTGGGAAAGAAATGAAGAAGATGATGGACTTGTAAGAATACTTTTACTAAACTATTTAATTTAATTTTTTTTGAATATTTTTACTAACTTAGTAATCTTGATCATAGGGCAATGAAAACATATCAAAATGTAGTCTTACAAAAGCATGGATATAAGCTCAAGGATCCCACATGGATTGAGCCAAAGGTGATGCTATACTTTATTAATATGTTCAATTATTAAGATTTCTTACTAATTTTTTATGATTTGTTCTTATACAGAGTCATAGACAACCGGTGAGGACGAACTTGTGCGGTCTATATGTCATGAGGCACATGCTCAATATTATTACATTAGGCATGACCGAATTTACAAAAGAGGTAAATATATTTTTTAAAATTTTCTTTTATTATGTTATTTGAGATTGATTAATATGCCTATTTTATGAATCAAATTTTAGATGTTCAACAATTCGGATGTATTTTCTAAAGCTGAAATTGAAGACATCCGCATACGTTGGGCAACCTATTTTATGGAGAACTTGTGAGGTTTTTTGTTACTTTTGGACATGTTTTAATTTTAATAGTTGACACAATTTAGACAATTATTAGTTTTCCTAATAGTTAAATAGTTTTGTATAGTTGATAAATACTTGATAAACAATTGTAAATGAATTGAGTTGTCTAATTTGGCAATTTTATGCATAGGAATGGCAATTTTGACAATTTAGACAATTATTAGTTTTTTTAATAGTTAAATAGCTTTGTATAGTTGATAAATACTTGATAAACAATTGTAAATTAATTGGGCTGTCTGATTTGAAAATTTTTATACACAGGAATGGGTAAAATCAATTAAATAAATATAGTATAAAAAAATTAAAATACTTTTTACACCGGTTATTACCACAACCGTTGTAAAATATAATTTTTCTTACACCCGTTATGGTAATAACCATTGTAAAAAGTGTACTTTTTACATTAGTTGGGCTCCGAAACGATGTTAAAAGTGTACTTTTTACACCAGTTCAGAGCCCAACCGGTGTAAAAAGTCAAAAGTGACTTTTTACACCGGTTAGGAGCCCAATCGGTGTAAAAAGTTAAAGTAAATTTTTTTTATTTTCTTGTATATAATTTTCAATATCGGCTCTATAACTGATGTAAAAAATTTAATTTTTACATCGGGTTTATAACCAATGTAAAAAGAGGGACTTTCTACACCCCCTAGAACAACATCGCCTCTTTAACCGCTATAAAAAGTCATTTTTATACTAGTGTGAGTTTATGTACACCACTCAAACAAAATCGGGCATTACTATCTGTAATGTAGCAAATCTGCTAATCCTTACTTGATTCCTTTCCCTGCTTAAACTCAGCAGTAGAACCTGCAAAATAATAACCACGGGGTAAGATAAAAATCTTATTAACTAAGATAATCTACAATATCGATTAACATGCCAAGTTATAAACAAGCTTTAAAACATGCGTAACAAACACACCATATACAATTCACCATAATAAAATGCATGATTGTTAATCATTCGATCCTCCAATACTCCCGACTAAACCAGTAGGCTATTTCACGATACCAAACCATATTTATGGTCCCCAAGCTCACCATCCATGGTAGGACTACTTGGCCAAGGTGTCCTAAACCACTTCTAGGCTACTGGTTCCTCCTATTACAAATAATTGGGATGTCATTACTACAATACTGCATCCTATGGATGTTAAGAAGTATAGTCTCCAACTCCTTTTTCAGGCACTAAGGAGAAATATGACCTGCACCTGGAGTCTTGAGGTGCTAGCAATGCTATATGGATTTAATCTCCACTAACTCCACTAAAGTGACCTCCTACCATCTAATATGCCACATTTCACTACATATCTCTACTTGACCATGCATAAACAACTTTTTAAAACCGATATAATATATCTTACCACTTACTTCAAAAACATGACATTTTACAAATCAATATTCCACTTATTTTCTAAAATAGTTAACTCTTACAAAATTTATAAATATATACATAACAAATCATACAAGAACAACTTAAGAATAACTTATACAAGGTAATAAATAATGTAAATTATCTAGTTACCTTAACCCATTTGTTACTAAAAAGAGTTACCTGTGGTACTGAATCTCTTTTTGTGTCAAGGCAAGTTTTTCCCACACCATAATTTACGTCAACAAGTACTATATATTAATTTTCAATTAACACAAACACTTAGCTATCAATAATGTAACATTCGAAAACTTTAAATCTAGAAAAATTGATTAATTAAGGGATAAATTAGTTAAAAATATGATTAATTTATTTAATTATGTTTTTAGGTTGCTAATTGGATTTTTGGGTTATATTTGGCTCTAAATTGAGATAGGATGAAAGTCGGATCAAGTTGGGTGGTATCGGGGGGAGCAAAATCAACATTTTGCTTGCTACATCGTGAGCCACAGCTTGCTTGGCCTGCATTGCAGCGCACGACACAGCAGACAACTTGAAATTTTAGAAATTATTAGAAAAAGTCAGATTTTATAGTGGGAAACCTAGAGCACGAAGGGGATAACTTTAGGCACTACTAGGGCATCAATTTGGAAGGATTTTGAAGACAAATTTAGCCTTCAAACTCTTGAGTAAGTTTCCTACCATTCTCCTCTACCTTTTCATCTCATTTTCCATGGAATTTGAAAGAGGGAGAATTTAGTTTGATTAGATTAAGCCATGAGTCAATATTTTAAAGGTTTTTATTGATTTTAAAGGTTTGATTTAGGTTTGTTAATCTTGGATGTATGGTAATATAAAGCTACTTTCTAGTTTGGTAAAAGTTAGATCAAGCCCTAACTTGATCATGGGATTTTGAAGTGTTATAAGTTGAGATATTGAGTTTTATACTGTGATAAAGTTAGAAGGAGACTTGAAGGGATGATGTGAACAAATTCTAATCTTGACAAGTCTATTTGTTGAGAATATGAGTGAGAAGTAGGAGAATTGGGAGGTTATTATTAGCTAATAGTGCTTGTACTAATTGAAAATTAATATATAATACTTGTTAATATAGATTGTGGTATGGGAAGATTTACCTTGACACAAGAAGAAATTTAGTACCACAGGTAACCCTTTTATTAACAAAAGGGTTAAGGTAACTAGATAATTTACATAATTTATTACCTTGTATAAGTTATTCTTAAGTTGCTTTTTTATGAATTGTTGAGTATATATATATAAATTCTTTAAAGGTTAGCTATTTTAGAAAATGAGTGGAATATTGCTTTGTGAAATTCTACATTTTTGAAATAAATGGTAAGATTTTGTTATATTTGTTTGGAAATTTCTTTATGCATGGTCAAGTAGAGATATGTAGTGAAATGTGGCATATTAGAGGGTAGGAAATCACCTTAGTGAAGACAGTGAAGATTGAGTCCATATGGCATTGCTAGCATTTACTCTCCTTAGTGCCCAAAAATAGGTGCGGTGTTGGAGACTTACTCTTCTTAATACCCAAAAGGGTGCGGAGTTGGAGATTATGATCCTTAGCATTCATAGGATGCGGTGTTAGAGTAATGACACCCCAATTACTTGTAATAGGGGAACCAGTAGTCTAGAAGAGGTTTAGGACACCTTGGCCAGGTAGTCCTACCATGGATGGTGAGCTTGGGAGCCATACATGTGGTTTGGTTTTGTGAAATAGCCTACTAGTTCGGTCAGGAGTATTAGAGGACCGGATAGTTAGGGATCATGTATGCAATTTGTGGTGATCTTATATGATGTGAATATGTTACTTGTTTTAATGCTTGTTTGTAACTTGGCTTGTTAATCAATAATGTAGATTATCTTAGTTACTGAGATTTTTATCTCACCCTATTGTTATCATTTTACAGGTTCTACCTCTAAGACTGAGCAGGGAAAGGAATCGAACAAGGACTAGTAGATTTGCTACATCATAAATAGTAATGCTTGATTTTGGTTTGAGTGGTGTACATAAACTTGTTATACGATATTATACGTTGTCAACTAGGAATGCATACCATTTTGATTGGTTGCACTTGCTTTATGCTATGTTATTTTGTATTTTAGCCCAATATTGTATATGAGGTGAATATGTGACAATTTTTATGGTGATGGGCTAAAATATTATTACAAGTACAAGGAATGTTTTATCTATGTTGTGACAATGTATTTGTAGTGTATTATGTAGTAATAGAGGCCAAATAGTGCATGTAGTGTTGATTATGTGTTTTGGCTATATTGGGTGAAATGGCCATTAAGTGGCCAAATTTTGTGTTTGGTATGTTTTTGTGTGTTTGATTCGTCACTCAAGTATATTTTGGTCCATTGAACTTGGTTCAAGCCTCACAATGGGTTAATGGTATAAGTTATGAGTTTTGGGTACTTGGATGGTTGAAAATTTCTTTAAAAAAATGACTTTTGCATCCAGGTGTTTAAAATTCTAATACGGTGTCAGATCATAATAAAACCTATACCATTAGTTAGCTTATTAAATAAGCTTCACATGGGTGCTTGAATCACTCCAATCAGACATCGGATGCAAAAATGACACACGTTCAAAATCTATCTAAAAAAGCTATCATGACAGCATTGCAGCCATGGACACGTGTGCCACAGTGCATTTCGTACAAGTCGTGGTGCACGGTATAGCAAGCAAACTTGGCTTTCTATGCCACGAGCCGTGGCGCATGGATAGAAACACTTAAAAATGACATTTTTGGCCTTGTTTTGAAGTATTTTGCTTCCTAAAACTTTTCCATGCTTCCAATGCCTATTTAAATCATTAAGTTTGAGCTCAAACTATCAATTTAAAGGGTTTTAATGGGATCCCAATTATTTCACATTTATTTTTAAAAGATTATTAGTTTTAACCCTTATATAGATAATGTGAGCTTAGGAGCAATCTTTGCTCCTAATTATGATATCTTGTTGTGATTGTATGGTGAATTTTGGTAATATCAAGGTGGATATTACAAATAACATCCTAATTCTCCTACTTCTCACTCATATTCTTAGCAAAGATGCTTGTCAAGATTACACTTTGTCCACACATTCCCCTCAAGCCTCCCTTTAACTCTATCACAACATAATACTTAATATCTCAACTTATCTTACTTTAAAACCCCTAATCAAGCTAGGGCTTGATCTAATTTACACCAAATAACAAATAAGCTTCATATTACCACTTATCCAAGGTTAAGAAACTTAAATCCAACCTTTAGAGTCAATTAAAATCTTTTAAACATAGACCCATAGCTTAATCTATTATGATAAAATTCTCCCACTTCTAAATGCCATGGAAAATGAGATGAAAAGTTAGAGGAGAAGGGTGGAGAACTTACTTGAGAGTTTAAAGGCCTAATTTATCTTTAAAATCCTTTCAAAATAAAGCCCTAACAGTGCCCTAAGCCTTCCCCTTCATATTCTAGGTTTTTCCCCACAAAAACTACCTTTTTCTGATGATTTTCAAAATTTAACTTGTCTGGCTATGTCGTGCATTACAACGCACAACACACAAGCTGTGGCATACGATGTAGCAAGAAAAAAGTCATTTTTGCTCCCCTCGATGTCACCTGATTCAATCTAACATTCATCCTAACTCAATTTAGAACCAAATATGACCTAAGAATCCAATTAGCAACCTAAAAATATAATTAAATTAATTAATTAGTTTTTAACTAATTTATCCTTTAATTAGCAATTTATTCTAGATTTAAAGTTTTTGGATGTTATAGAAGCAACACCCTTCTCGACCATATTAGCATGTAGATAGTCAAAGGAGACATAATCAAAAGCATAACAATTTAAAGGAAAAGATAGAATGCCCTCAACAACAACAAGTGAACTAGAGCCATGAGAATGAGAGCTAGATGTAATGCAAGGTTTATCAAAAAGAGGTATAAGGATGAGTGATAAATGCATAATCAATTTAGGAGCCTCATAAATAATTTCCTCATCAATGTCACTATCACAGAACAATCAGAAGGTGATTCCATATTCATATTAGAATGTGTAGAACCATTCAAACCACAAGAATCAATCACATTATTTTCTACACAAGAAGAACTATGCATACATGCAAAAATGCTATCTCCTACAGTAGACTTTCTAGTAAATAGTTCATCATCACTACTATCTTGCAAGATTGGAAAACTAGAGATCATGTGAGAAATTTTAGCAAAATACTCATAAGAAGTAAGGTCCAAGCAGTCACAATCAGTACAAGAATTAGCATCAAAATATGATTTAGAATTATCACTACTAGTGGCATGCAAAGAGTCAGTTATACATACATTAACAACAGAATCAACCATGTTTACACTAGTCACAGAATGCTGCTCATAAGGATGCAACATGGATCTATGAACATCAATCTTAACTTCCTTACCTCTAAACTCTAAAGTTAGAGTTCCCTCTTTCATGTTGGTAATGGCATTAGTAGTTAGTAGGAATAGGGGGCCCAGAATCAACCCTTCTTTGCCTTCATGTGCCATATCAAGGATGTAGAAATCTACAAGAAAAACTAAGTCTTTTACCTTGACTAATAGATCCTCAATGATCCCATAAGGCTTCCTTATAGTTTAATCAACCAACTACAAGACAATGTTAGTTTCTTGAGGTCTTCTAAGATTTAATAAAGAGTAAATATGCAATGACATCACATTGATCACAGCTCCTAAATCAGCCAAAGCATTGGGTATATCAACTTTCCCAATCTGATAAGGTACGAGATATGAACCTGGATCCTTACACTTAGGAGGAAGTTATGCCTTCATAATTGCACTTACATTTGGACTCACATATATGATAGAAGTAGGCTAATAGGACCTCTTGTTCTTACACAAGTCTTTCAAGAATTTTTCACATTTTGGGAAACCCTTAATCACATCAATTAAAAGTAGATTAACCTATATCTTGTTAAACTACTTGAAAACTTCATTTTCATTAGGATTTTTAGTTAGTGCTTTAGTCAAATTAAAAGCATGAGGAAAGGGTGCACCTTCCAGGATTAGATCCCTAAGCTTATAACTCTAGGTAATCTCTTTCTTCCCTTTCTTGAAGAACTCTTAGCCTCTTCTTTTTCCAAACTTTCAGCTTGTGCCTTAGAATCTTGCCTCTCTTCTTGATTTTCCTTGGACACCTCTTGAGTGGAAGAAAGGACTAGAGCCTCATTAGGACTCTCAATTTTTAAGTCCTTTTTCCCTTAAACAATTTTAGAATCCTCAACTTGAGTATTCAATTGAAAAGTCTTACCACTTCTAAGTTAAATGGCATTTAACTCTTGTTACTTAACAACTTCAATAGCCTTGGCATCTCTTGGATTCACAACAGTTTGAGTAGGAAGATTACCCTTATCTTGACTTAATGAACCAATAGGTACAGGTTGGGCTTATTGGACCCTCATTCTCTATAATTCATCAGTCAATTGGGCCAACACATTATCAATTACACTAAATTTGTCATTCATATTAGCTTCCATTTCACTCTTTATAGTCATCATATCATTCCTTGTAATACCTTGAGACTTATCTTCAAAAGGAATTACTTGTCTTGAAGAAGAAGAACCATCAGCTTTTTGAAACCGATTACAAGGACCCCTTTGATTGAATTGATTTAAATTCCAATAACTTAGATTAGGATGATCCCTCTACCCTGAATTGTAAGTGTTAGAGTAAGGGTCATAATTGGCATTAGGTCGGTTAAATCCAGGTGGTAGCTTATTAGTTTGAGTGTATAAGGTAGACAATTCTTGGGCTTATTAGCTTAAGTATATAAGGTAGACAATTCTTGGGCTTGACTCTTAAAAGGACAATTCAGATATGAAGGGTAGAGTTATAATAGTTGAAAGAAGGAGCAACTAAGGCTTGAGACACACTAACTTGGTTAACATGCTGTGTTAGGGCAACTATTTGAGCTTTTAGTTCCCTAATATCTCTAGATAAACCATTAGACACATCATAAGTAGCCTTCACTTTCCTTTCACTAGCCACAAATTGCTAAGTATTCAACACCATTTTATCAAGTAAATCCCAAGCTATTGTGGCATTCATGTCTAAAATACAACCCCCAGCAGTAGCATTAATATGTTTCTTATCAAATAAATCTAACCCCTCATAGAAGTATTGAATGAGGTATTTTTTTTGGAATGTTATGATGTGGGAATTTAAATAAAAGTTCTTGGAATCTACTCTAATAATCATACAAATTCTCTCCACTCAACTATGTAATTTTGTAGATCTCTTTCCTCATAGATGAGCTCCTACTAGTAGGGAAATACTTATCTAAGAAGGCTTTTCATAGCTCACCCCAGTTGCATCTGACAAGTTGAGGTTGAAGAAGGAACCACTCCCTAGAACTTCCTTCTAAAGAGAATACAAATGCCTTCCACATCACTTCTTCTGTGTTAGCCATAGGTGGATTCATGGAGTGACAAATCATATGAAGATCTTGAAGGTGCCTATGAGGGTCCTCACTTGAGAATGCATGAAACTTAGGTAAGCTTGATATGAATGAAGGTTTAATTTGAAAATTAAATTCATGTTCTAGGAAACAAGTTTAAGAATATTGCATATTAACATCTAGAGAAACAATACCCCTAATACTTCTTTCTTCACCATTACCGTTACCTCCATTAAAATTTTCACCAACATTCTCATGAACATGTTCAGCAATGATTTCCAAATGAGAGCTATCAACAAAATTACTTGAAGAAAATTGAGAACAAAGTAGATTATTGCTCAAGTAAAAAGTATCTAGAACTTCCCTTAAAGAGTTTTGATATTTCAATTGTAGTTCTAAAATCTTCCTACCGGGACATAAACAACTCAAATAACTCAAAAGAAATAAATAAAATCACTCAAAACAAGAAAAAAAGAACAAAACTCAAATCTAGAAAATCATACAAAAATGGGAAAAAAATTGAAAATTCAAAAACTTAATGAAAATGGTTGAATTTTGCCAAATCTGGTAGACCTAATACCAAAAGGTAGTAGCAATGCTTAGAAGCCTGAAAAACTATAGATTGAAAAGTTTTAGATTTTTCTAAGCATTTCTGAAACAGGACAATAAAGGTCAACACTAAAAAGTCAAAC